TTCCTTATCTTCCTGATAGCACTTACCAATTTGTAATTGAATCATCATGTAATTTATGGTTTAAATTCATTTGGGATAGGAACGAGGCAACTGATTGGCACTTAAAATGATGCAGTGAATAAATGAATGAAACTTCTATAGCTCTATTATTTTTTAAAGAAAATTTTACTTAGTGCATGTTTTCAGTACATGATGTGTATATTCATGTTGAACAGTAAGTATATGTATGGAATACAGCTGGTTTCTTTTAATCCCCTCCCAACCATTTCTCTCCCTCTAAATCCCCTTTCTCACTTACATTTTGTAATTATTCATAGCTAATGTTTATGACATACTATGTTTACATTCATTGAAGTTACTAGGTTCCTGTACATGGCATATGTTTTTACTTCCCCTTCTTTCTCTTCACCCTCAGTACCTAGACCCCTTTCCAAGTGCAAAGAGAATAATAAAGGATGTGTAGAAGGAAACAATCCTTGTGTAGAAGGATTGTTTCCTTCTACACATCCTTTATTATTCTCTTTGCACTTTGCCTTACTCAAATGAGAGATACCATATAGAGTTTAAACCTGAGTGTCTGATTTATTTCATTCAACCTTGTATTTCCCAGGTGAATCATGTTCCTACACATATCTTGATGTATTTATGATGAATTTACCCTTTTTTATAGGCAAGTAGTGTTCCATTATGTGTAGATACCACATTTTCTTTTTTTTTTTTTTTTTTTGGTCTTTTTTCGTTTTTATCGGTTCCAGGGATCGAACTCACAACCGCCTGCTTGCAAGGCAGGTGCTTATGCCGCTGAGCTAAATCCCCAGCCCCCACATTTTCTTTATCCATTAATCTGTTGATGGATATATGGGCTGCTTCCAGAATTTAGTTATTATGAATTGTGCTGCTACAAACATTGGTATGCATATATTGCTATAATATGATGTCTTTAGTTTTATTTTATTTTTTGGTACTGGGGATCAAACTCATGACATTGCATTTGCTAGGCAGCCATTTGTACCACTGAGCTAAATCCCCAACCCACCATATGATGTCTTTAGCACTTTAGAAAAAATACCTAGAAGAGGAATATCTGGGTCATATGGAATTTCTACTTTTAGTTCTTTGAGAAACGCCAGACTGATTTCATAATGGTTGTATTAGTTTACATTCCCACCAACAATGGAGGATTCCTTTTTCACCACAGTCTCACCAGCACTGGTTATTCTTTGACTTCTTTGATGATTGTCATTCTTTCTGGTGTAAGATGAAATCTTAGCATTTCATGTTTTGCTTTAATTTCTTTGATGATTGTCATTCTTTCTGGTGTAAGATGAAATCTTAGAATTGTTTTGCTTTAATTTTTTTTGTCTTTTTGAGACAGGGTCTTGCTATGCAGTTCAGGCTGGCCTTGAGCTCACTTTGTAGCCCAGGCTAGTCTCGAACTCGCAATGATCCTCCTGCCTCAGCCTCCTCAGTGCTGGGATTACAGGTGTGAGCCACTACGCCCATCTTGCTTTAATTTCTTAATGAGCACTTTTTCATATGTTTGTTGGCCATCTGTATGTCTTCTGAGAAGTGTCTGTTCATTTTACTGGTCCATTTCTCAATTGGGTCTTTTATTTTAGATGGTCTAATTTTTTTTTAGAGTTCTTTATATATTCTAGAAATTTTGGGTTATGTTGAGACAGGTTCTTACTATGTAGTTAAAGCTGACTTTTGTAGACAAGACTGGCCTTGAATTTGTGGTGATTAGCCTGCCTCAGACTCCCCAGTGTTGAAATTACAAACATGTGTTACCACACTGACCTATTGTAATTGCCCTATCACTTTTATCCAGTTGTTTGTAGCTAAGAGTCTGTCAGAAGAGAAAGAGGAATAGAACCAGGTACTTTCAGTCATCAGTAGATAGGAAAAGCCTAGAGAAGTTGTAAAGAGTTTAGGAAAAAAAGGCTTGAAGGGAATAATTTAGCAAAGATATACAATCACTGTAGTCACTCACATTTGAAGGACATGAGGTAAAAGTGATGTTCGTATTTCAAACAGAACTGCTTTTGAACTCACACCTGAGAATGAATCCCTAAATCCCACTTTCTGATGCAGGTTGATTTGGACCACACATGGCTCCCCAACTCTTACAGTTCTCACTCAGAGGTTTGACTTCTAACTCACTTTTTTGGAGGGTCTTTTTAGTCTTTGAGACAGAGTCATGCTATGCAGTTCAGACTGGCCTTGAGCTCACTTTGTAACCCAGGCTGGGCTCGAACTGGCAATGATTCTCCTGCCTCAGCCTCCTGAGTGCTGGGATTAAGGCATGCGCCACCACTGCTTGCTTAAATCACTTTATTATTATTATTATTATTATTATTATTAGTCTTTTTCCTTTTTACCGGTACCGGGGATCGAACTCACGATTGCCTGCTTCCAAGGCAGGCGCTTATGCCGCTGAGCTAAATCCCCAGCCCCAAATCACTTTATTTTGGGAAAAGACAAAGTTCACCATTTGTGAATCCCCTAAGACCACAGGGAAAAAAGACAATTGTAAACAGGCACATGAGCACTTCAGAATCTAGTACAGAGCAAATGTAAAAATACCCAGTATCCATTTTCTTCCTAGAATAGATTGGTCTGTATATTTTCCCAGCTGCTGCCTGAGGTCAGGCTTCTAACTACCCCGTATTTGGGATCCAGCAGGGCAGATAACACAGTTAACTTTAAGACTCTTGAACAGGGGCTAGGGATTTAGCTCAGTGGCATAAGGGCCTGCCTGGCAAGTGTGAGGTTGTGAGTTTGATCCCTGATGAAAAAAAAAGTTCTGAACAGGCATCTGGCCACTTCACTGGCTGCTTTTTCCACCTCATGCCCTCAAATCTCTCCAGCTGGCTCCAGAATAAAGCCAGGTCTACAGCTTGTCCCTGAAAGGAGTTTGTCCACCAATTGAGTACCTTAACCCTTTTTCCCCCAGTATTGGAGATTGAACCCAGGGGCTTTGTACTGTGCTATATTCCCAGACCTTTTTATTTTTTCAGTTTGAGATAGGGTATTGCTAAGTCCCTAAATTTCCCAGATTGATCTCTAACGTGCAATTCGCATGTCTCAGCTACCCAGAGTGCTGGGGTTACACATGTGAACCATCATACTCAACTACTGCCCTAACTTTTACACACTCACCTGCAGCACTGGTTACTAAACGACCTGGTTCTTGGAATTAAAGACACTCTGCATAAATGAGTGTTCCTGGATCACAGAGAACAAACTGGTGATTTTAAATGAGCTTAGCAGCACCAGCAGCTACTTCCTATCAGTCCAAAAGGATCAGGCATCTAGGTGTCATGGTACAAGCCTATAATCCCAGTACTTGGAAGACTGACCTAAGAGGATTCCCATGACTTAGAGGCGAATTTGGGCTATACAGTAAGTTCAAGACCCTGTCTCAAAAACAATTATTTAGAGTGTACTAAACTCACAATTAAAAGCTACAAATTTGCTATGTAGATAAAAAATAAGATCTAATTGAATGCTATCAATAAGATACTTATTTGTTCACTTGTTTTTGGAGATAGGGTCTCACCAAACCAGACTGGCCTCGAACTTGTGGTGATCCTCTTGTCTCAGCCTCTGAAATGCTGGAATTACAGGCATGCACCACCAGGCCCAGCTGAGATGCTCACTTTAGATTTAAGAACACAGCTGGGCCTGGTGGTACATGCCTGTATCCAACACTCTTGAACAAGCACTAAAACTCAAAAGGGAATTTAAGAGCTATGTAAAAAAAAAATCTCACCAGGCTTAGTGAAATACACCTCTAATCTCAGCACTCAAGAGGTTGAGGCAGGAAGATTATTGTGAGGTCAAGGCCAACATATACTACATAGTGAGTTCAAGGCCAACCTGAACTACATAGTAAGACCCTGCCTCAATAAAAAACAAAAACAAGACAAACCCCATCTCAAATGAAGACACAATTTACAATTTACCAAACTGTAGTATTTAGCAAAAAAAGATCTCAAACTGCCTAACTTAAGGCACAGGGCTATAGCTCAATGCAAGGGTGCTTGTATAGCATCCCCAAGGGCATAGTTTCAATCCTCAGTACCTCTAGAAAAAGGAAAAAAACCTTGGGGGTGAAGTAGGGCTGTGTTCCATTCAGGTAGAGCACTTGATGCCATGCTTCAGGCCCTGGGTTCAATCCCCAGCATGATAACCACAACAAGACCCATCTTTGCATCTCTGAACTAGGGGGAAAAAATTGAGAATTAGTAGAAAAAAGTAAACATAAGAATCTGAGCAGAAATAAATCAAGTAGAATATAGAGAACAAAAAATTTATAGAAAAGAGTTGGTCTTATGAAAATTAAAATTGATAAATCTACTTGGGAGCATGGTGGTTCATGACTGAAATCCTAGCACTTGAGAGGTTGAGGCAGGAGGATTGCCAAGCAGTTGAAGCCATAGTGAGCTCAAGGCCAGCCTGAACTACATAGTGAGACCCTATTTTAAATATGGACAAACCTTTCGGTAGACTAAAAAAATAGAGAAGACTCAAAAAATGAAATGGGAGCTCTTACAATGGATTTCTGAGAAGTAAGACAATAGGGAGCTATCATGAGCAATTATATACCAACAAATTTTTCTAAGTATACTGCTAATTATTATAAAACTATCAAATCACATTTTAATTGTATAATTTTGCAAAGTATATGTTTTGCATCTTGATGCAAGGAAGAATGCAACATATTAATCATTTTTCATAAACATTTCAGAGGTTGACTAGAATATCCCGGAGTCTTTTACTTGACTACCAAATACCTTTTTAAGTACTTGGTTTTTGTATTTAAAATTTAAAACGTTAAATTTAAGCAATATAAAAGTTTTATAATGCTTTAACATGACCAAAAATTTTATTAAACATATTTATATATATTCACAAATTCTTTCAAAGTTGAGTATTAAAATAGACTTTTACAATTTTAGGATTTTCATTCAAAGTCATTTTTGTTTTTGTTTCAGGAAAAATAGGCTCTACTGTAAGACAAGAAAGAACTGAGTTTCTTTGTATGACTAATTATAAACAAGGAGTCCATATAATAAGCCACAGGATCTATAACAAGAGATTGGTATGAAACCCCTCACACTGTTCCAGGTATCAACTACGGACAGCTCCATCATAGGCAGCACACAGTACAACTCGGTCAGAACTCCACAGGGATGACAATGGAAACGTGTTAATGCGAACTCACACATGCCTTACAGAAGTGTTGCTACCTGAACATACAATTATTACATGCCATACAAACTACGACTACAATTTTTGATCCAATAAAATATTAGACAAAACAGTTCTAGAGCTTTTCTGTACAAGTTTTGACTATCAATCTCTTTGTACTGTATACCTTTTGACCATTAGTCATAAGATGTATATCTGCACAGTATGTATGCTATTTAAAAAGAAGACAATAAGGGGCTGGGGATTTAGCTCAGCGGCATAAGCACCTGCCTTGCAAGCAGGCAGTCGTGAGTTTGATCCCTGGTACCGATAAAAAGGAAAAAAAATATTAAAACTTTCAAAAAGAAAAACTACCATTAGTCATGTGTGGTGGTACATGCCTATAACCCCAGCACTCAGGAAGCTGAAGCAGGAGGATCACTGCATCCATGATGGAGGATTCAGAGAGAGTCCAGGAAATTCTGGTGTTGGGTATGGGAGCTCAGATAATGAACACAAGGTAGGTACTGAGCTTATGTCCTTGGAAGAGTTAACAGCAGTAACTCTGAGTCCCTGTCACCCCTGCTTCCCTCTCGCCTTCCTAGGGCTTCTGTCTCCAGCCTTTTCCACACCACTGAGCTCAGGTTCACCTTTGTTTTGGCTAAGGCAGAACCAGATTTTCAAGGGAGGGATAGGTAGTTCAGAGCAGAACGGAAAAGGAAATGAGAGCATTTTTTATAATTCCCTCATTTTACTAAGAGAACTGGTACATGTATGACAGAGCTTGGTAGCAAGTTACTGCAATGGAAATGAACTTTAGGCTCCCAACCCAGTGGCTTTCCCCCTGGGCCAGCCTGCCTCTTTTCATGTTCTGGGACAGCAGTCCACTTAACCCTATGCTCAATCCTAACTCCTGTGACAAAGTGATTTTTGCCTCAAAAAGACTTGTCTGGCTCCATGAATTTCTTAATGTATTAACCTGAGCATGGTGATACATGGGAGGCAAAGGCAGGAGGATCTCTGTGAGTTCAAGGCCATTTTGGCCAACATAGTGAATTTAAGGCCAGCCTGAACTACATAGCTGCGGGGAGCTGCTGAGCTAATGATCATTCATGTACACGGAGCACAGAGGAATGCCCAAGGGATTTAAGAAGCCAGCTAGTTAAGCAAAGGCGTCATATGACAAATGTATAAATCAGTGCACTGATGGTTGCGCACTGTCTTGCATCCAGAGAAAGGGCTTCACCTGACTGCAGCTTTCTGTCTCTTTATTTTCTTCATTTTCCACCCCGACTCCCACCATCCCATCTCCCAGAAACTTGAGTTCTCATGGACACAACACATAGCAAGACTCTGTCTCAAACAAACAAACAAACAACTAATATTTTTCAAGTAAAAGATGAAATATGTATTTAAAAACTATATGTAAATATGTAATATGTAAAAATTAAATTAGATTTAAAGATAATATCGGCTTAAGCTATTAAGCTTCTCTCTGACAGCCTGATCTGCAATTCTGGCTGTGGGGTGGGGGGTTCATTGTCCTAGAACAGCCCTTTTCCTAAGGGGCTCACTCTGCTTAGTGTGATCTCTGCCTCAGAGTGGACATGCAGGGTGTATTCTCCAAGTTTCTGGGTCCCTGACGTGTTTTACCCAGTCTTGGCCCTGAAATACCACTTTGGCAGGCTCCGTATTGCATTCACAGCAATATGGATCTATGGAGTCTTTGGCTCATCTGGGGCATACGCAGGGCCAAGGCCTGATCCCTTCATCTCCTTTTCCTGTCACCTCTGCCCTTTTCCCCTCCAAGGGGAAAGAAACAGTGAAGGCTCCAGGGGCAAGAGGCTGCCTGTTCAGCCTGCTAGAACTTAAAAGAACTAGGACAGTCTCAACATGGAATGTGGCAAGTGTCCCCTGTCTGGCAATGCCTGACGAGTTCAGGTGCTAGGGCCTCAGGTGTGGCAATGGATTAATCCACAGGTAAGGTATGGATAGTCTATTTTTCTCCCATCAGTAGACCTGTTGTGGAAAGGTTTGGAGGGAAGAGTGAGGGGTGGTCAGAGGCAGACTTAGTTTCCTGCCAGCATTTTGCCTTGCTCACTTGTGGTGGTTGGACCAGTCTTAGGAGAGATGCTCTGGAGACCAGGCCTCTAGACGGCCAAGGCACTTCTTGGAATCATTGCCCTGGGACTCACTTCACTGTAGATGCATCATCAGATCCTCACTTAAATGTAACACAGGGGGGCTGGGGATTTAGCTCAGCGGTGTTAAGTGCCTGCCTTGCAAGCAGGCAGTCGTGAGTTGATCCCTGGTACCAATTAAAAAAAAACATAAAAAAATAAATGTAAGGCAGGGTACTGTTCTTACCTTGCAGCTGAAAAAAGAGGTTCTGAAAAGGTAACTGAAAGGGTTTTGGCCCAGACAGGACACTGTAGCCAGGAAAGCATCAACCGGAAGCAGGAAGCCCCTATCTTCCCCGCCCCTAGGAAGTTACCTGTGGCCATCTTCCCGCTCCTGGAAATTTACATATGGCACCAAACCTAGGGCCAATGGGCTACCTGTATATCCCTAATGCCCACCTTAGGTTCCACCCCAAACCGAGGCTATTTACATTCCCCACGCCACGTGTTCACCGAAGAGATCGCCGGACGCCAGCAGTAGGGGTGCCGGCCATCTCTCTCTCAGAATAAAGGCCGCTTTTTATTTTATACTTCTCATCTTTTGGAAATATTTTTCATCTTTTGGAAATAATTCTAGCATTTGGTGCCGTTACTCGGATCAGCAGGCGATTGACTCCTGGGACACACCCAGTTGAGTCCCCTAGCCGATAACCAGATAACATCCTGGATTAATTCTGAGCTCTTTCCTCCCCCCAGATGTCCTTGTCACCAGCCACCTGCACTCAGCAACAGCTAGATTGATTTCAGGTGAGCACTCCCCGGGGAACTTTTGGCACTGGGCAGCCCCAGTCGAATGTTCTCCCCGTTCTCATGGGTCTGTGCATTTTCACGTCCTTAGGACAGCTCAGGGCAGGGTTCTTTCTGGGCAAACCTGTGTCCACACTCTATAAAATCTCTCATGTTCTTTGGGTTCGGATAGCCCAAAGCAGAGATTTTTGGACCGCCCACACTGAAAGAATGCCTCACTTCCCTTAAAGCCTTGCACTTTCACGGGCAAAACTGTTACTGACCCCACGCAGCCTCCACTCGTAAATCTCTCAGTGACGACTGGAATATACAAGTTTTTGGAACCGTAACTGCCGCATGGTGCCACAAATGAGTGACGGCTTGTTCTGGACCACCGGCTTTTTTCTTGCCTGAATCAGTCACGGGAAACGTATTTTCTAACTCCCAAAAGATGCCTTTACAATGTCTAATTTCCAATTTACATATTCTAAAAATTAAAAGTACCATAAAAACTAAACAATTAACTTTTTACTGCCAGGAGGTCTGGCCAACCTACCCGCTTATCGGCAAGCATTGGCCCAAAGAAGGAACATTTGACCCCTGCATTCTCAGAAACTTGTATGAGTTCTGTCAGACCGGCGACAAGTTATTAGAACTCCCTTATGTTCAGGCCTTTCTTGTTCTGAGAACACACCAGTCTCTCATTAAGTCTTGTGCTCCCGCTGAGATACTTTTAGCTAACTCTACCGCGCCACAAACTTTTCCATCCTGCCCTCAGGATTCACTTGAGGATGTTCTTCCAGTGTTTTCCTGGCCGCTGCCTGCCTACCCCCAAACTTGTTCCCTGCTGTTATCTCCCGCCAGACCACTCTCCCCTCCCGCTATGCCTGATTCTCTCAGCAGTCCTGGTCCCAATGCGTCGCAGTTACCTCCCGCTGTGCGATCGTCTCCCTCTCCGTCTCCCAGGATCCACAACTCTCCCAGCAGCTCTAATCCCTCTGTGTTGCAGTTATCTCCTGCTGTGCAATCCTCTTCCTCTCCGTCTTCTGGGACCCATAACTCTCCCAGCAACTCTAATCACTCTGTTAGTGCTTCCTCAAAGTCTCCGATTTCTTGTTCTCCTGAGAATTCTCTATCCCCTACAGCATTCTCACTGCCTGCCCACCATACTAGGTCTTGGTTGCTATGTCCTTCCAGCAGGCCGTGTGATTGTTCCAGCTTGCACCGGGAACAGTCGCCATGTTGCAACCCTCTGCCACGTGGCATGGTGCCACCATGTTCAGGAGGGTCACATGGTGACAGGGCACTGCCACGTTCTGGGCCACGTGACAGGGCGTCGCCATGTTCCCAGGATCCTCACTGTCAACGGGCACCCCCTTGTGGCTCCTCTTGTGAACTGCAACAGCCGCCCAGTTGCAGTGCACATGATGCTTCACTGTGCTGCCGATAGCAGTCCTCTCACTGCAAGGCATACAGTGAGACGCCATCTGCCGGTGTTTCCCAGGGTGACCGGCAGCAACTCTGTAGCTGCTCTACAGATGATTGCTCACACATGCCTACTGGACGGATGGCTGCTCAATGGCCCTCTGCTCCAGAATCTTCTCCTCAGGCTCTGCTATCACTTCGGGAGCAAGCTGGCCCCAAGAAACTTAAAAACATCCATGTGCCTTTTTCCCTTTCTGATCTATGTCAGATTACCCATAAATTAGGTAGCTTCTCTGTTGACCCACAGAATTATATCAGGCAATTTAAATTCATTACTAATTGTTATGATTTACATTTTAAGGATGTTTATGTGATTCTAAATACCATTCTTGGCTCACAAGAACGGAATCAGCTGTGGCAAACAGCTCAAAAAGAAGCTGATCACAGACATAAGGTAAACACTGCTGATAATGACCCTGGGCCTGTAGCTGTGCCAGAGCAGGACAAGCATACTAACTATAACTTTTAAAACAGGTCCAGGAAGCTAATAAAAACCCAGCTGTGTTCCTAAATTGGCTTTCTAATCCTTGTGCCCCGCAAGCAGTTCCAGCTTCTCAAGCTGCGTTGGGCCGCCTCCCAGCCCCTCCCCCATGCACCTTCCCAGCCCCTCCCTCCCCTGTGCATCGTTGTCATCGCTGCCTTACATGTTTCCAGGGGCAGTCCCAGCTCACCCCTGTGCGCTACGACCCGGCGCTTGCCCCAACCCCACCCTGGGCATGCTCTGCTGGCGTGCCGTGAAACAGCAGCTCAGCGGCTCTGCTCAGGCATGTTTTTTTTACAATTCGGCTCCACTCAAGAGATGCTATTGTTTTATTACAATTCTCAAACCATTTAATCAAGGTTATTGGCCACCTGATAATTTTACCAGCCTTGTTTATCAATCAAAGCCTTCACCAATCTCCTGTTTAACAACTAAGGTTATAAATTCCTTTTTGCTGGGAACCACTAGCTCTATTTCAAGACAAGGGTTTTCTTTTTTTTGTCTTTTTCCTTTTTATCGGTACCGGGGATCAAACTCACGATCATCTGCTTGCAAGTCAGGCACTTATGCTGCTGAGCTAAACCTCCAGCCCGACAAGGGTTTTCTTCAAAGTTTTATTTTATTTGTCTTGGTTCATACTACTGCAAATAACAACTTTATTTTATATTCTTTTTTTTTTGTCTTTTTCGTTTTTATTGGTACCAGGGATCGAATTCACGACTGCCTGCTTGCAAGGCAGGCGCTTATGCCGCTGATCTAAACCCCTAGCCCCAAAAATAACAACTTTAAAAAATAAATGTGTTCAAAATTTGACAGTATTAGATCAGTTTTGATAGATTTATTCATAAGATTGCTAAACCTTTACTGCAAAATGTTTCCATTAAAGCCTTTTTGGGCAGACTAAAGCTTTTTTTGTTAATTCTACATGTCACCCTATAAAAAAGCGATGTGCCATCCAGATAAAGCCTGCTCTCTAATCTAAAATGCCAATATTAAATTCCTGCATACTTACTTAATTCTACTGTAGTCCAAATCCCAAACAAAAGGCAAAACTTGACCTTCAAACCTTATAAAGATCTTAATATGGTTTTTCATATTTTTAACACTTGTGACACTTGGAGTTCTGAGGTAGGTAAACCTACAGAAGGCGGAGCTGCCTGGCCCCACCATGGACCACACTCAAATGCAGCAGAAGACATTGGGCAACAAAATGCCCCATCCTGGTGTTCTTTGAGACCTTACTTCAGGGCTGCTGGACTGTCCTAGCCACCAAAGCGTGGGTAAGCCATCCTAACTTCTAGCCCTCACAGAAAATGTTGACACTGCCAGATCCATTGCTGAAAAAAAATTGCTGCCAAAGACTGAGGGGGTTCAGGGCAACAACAGTCCCCTTTAAGGTGTCCGTCTCAGAGTCCAAGTCGCACTAAAGTCTCAGGTAAGACAATTCTCTATATTTGTGGACATAGAGGCCATATATACAGAGTTCTTCCTGAGTTTTCAGGCTGCTATATTAAGTCCTCAATCTCTATGATGGGGTATTGATGGTCCACCTATGCCATTTACAAACAGGGCCTATTTTGTGCAGGTCCCAGTCCTAAATCTTAAAATGCCTTTTATACAGGCTGACTTAGACACACTGAGGCCTCAACAAGTTCCACTTGTTATTGCTAGTAAACCTCTCCTCAGTGACATAAGACCACCCCCTTCCTTTCTTATTCACCAATTTCTCAGGTAACCCTAGTCAGACTGACAGATACATTTTTGTCTTCTCACTTGGTTTGTACTTTTTCAGGATACATAAAAGCCTTTCTCATACTTGCTAAAGTTCTGTTGCAGCAAATCCACAGGACTACAACCAAGGTGGAGTGGCCCCCATCTGGTCTACTTGGCTACCTCTACAGCAGTCAACGTTGCTGGACTCCCATCCTAGTTTCACATCACTCAGGCTAAGAGGTGCCCTCCCAGCCCTAAATCTGATCATTCTGAGTGGTCATCTCATCTTCTGTCGCCTACCTGTCTCCGTCTCACAAAGGCCTCGCAGCCACAGTTAACAGGCTAAGTCATATTTTGTTACCCACTTTGGTTCCTAATTTCTTACATTCTATTAATGATCATTTTTACAGCAGGACTCTTGACAGTCTTTCCTAAAGACTCCCACATCATGCGTAAGATAAGCTTCATAATGTTCTATATGATAACAGTTGCAGTTCTTTCTACCCTCAGCTGTCTGGTTAAACGTGACATCCCTGAAAGCCTAAGCCCTTACCTTCCCTATACTGGTACAGCCACCACCTTCCCTGCTCCCCCTATTTCTTCCAGTTCAACTTCTGGACCAGAGACAAGTTTTATACACCTACCCTCTTAACTTTTATGCTTTCAGATGGGGGAGTAACCACCTCTCATAACATCATCTCTCCTAACCTCACATTTAATTTTCAGAATTCTGCCTTACCGTGGAGCATGTCTAAATCAAAGGCACCTTTCCCTCTACCTCACCTGGGTCCTTAAATAGGACAGTACCATGTCTCCTCTTAACATCTTGTCCCTTTGTTTTTCTAGTCTAACGTACATGCATTCACCAGTGAAGTTGTCCTGGTCAAAACACCTGGCACCAGCGTCTACTTGGGCATCAACCTTCATCCCATCGACTCCCCTAGGCTCTAGTACAGCGCCCTCTGCCAGCAGGAAGTAGTTAAAGAGAGAAATCTTCACCCCTTTTCATAATAATAATCATAAGAAGGGATATGAAAGGGTTTTGGCCCAGACAGGACACTGTAGCCAGGAAAGAATCAACCAGAAACAGGAAGCTCCTATCGCCCCCACCCCTAGGAAGTTACCTGTGATGCCATCTTCCCGCCCCTGGAAATTTACATATGGCGCCAAGCCTAGGACCAATGGGCTATCTGTATATCCCTAATGCCCGCCTTAGGTTCTACCCCAAACCGAGGCTATTTACATGCCCCCACGCCAAGTGTCCGCCGGAGAGATTGCTGGACGCCAGCGGTGGGGGTGCCGGCCATCTCTCTCTGTGTTCTCAGAATAAAGGCCACTTTTTATTTTATACTTCTCATCTTTTGGAAATATTTTTCATCTTTTGGAAATAATCCTAGCAGTAACGAGAGTCATTTCTTTCAGGAAAGAAGCACTTTAACTCTTTCCCACAACACCGGCCGGAAAACCCTGCCTACATGTGGCCGATAAGCTCCCCATGGTGTTAACTCCTAGGTTTCACCTAGGACTGCTCCTAAAAACCTATCCACTCAGGCATGTGCCTCTGTTTTACACAGGACAGTGCTGTATCATCTCAGGACAAGGTTAAGGCCTCAGGGCGGTGTCCCCTCCCTCCACCGCCCCAGTTAGCCTAATTTGTAACCTTTATCTGTAGCCTTGACCTAAGCTGGAAGCAGCCACCATCTTTGCCCTGAGCATTAGTTCTACTGGCTGTGGGGCCTGCAGTGGAGGCTGTTAACAGTGTTCTTTTTCTTTAATTAAGCTTTGATTTACATAATAAAATTCTCCCTACTTAAATGCACAATTTAGTGATTTTATTAGTGTATTCACAAGATGATGCAACCGTCACCCCAGTGGGTGTGTCTGACATCCCCTCTTTCTCTCTGCAGATTTGCCTGCCTATTTTGGATATTTCACAAATGAAATAAAACGTGACCTTTAGTATCTGGCTTCTTTCACTGAGCCTGTTTTTGAGGCAGATCCATGTTGTAGTGTGTGTAACTACATTCCTTTTTCACGGGCAAATGGTGTTCTGTTCATTCCTTTTTATGGGCAACATGCTTCGTTGTATGGCTGAGCGTGGTGGTAACCATCCATAATCCCAGCATTCAGGAGGCTATAGCAGGAGGATGGTGTTCAAGCCCATCCTGGACAATTTAGCAATTTAGCCAGACCCTGTCTCAGAATAAAAAATAAAAGCAGCTGGGAATGTAGCTCAGTGCGAAGGCCTTGGGTTTAATCCCCAGTGCCTCAAAATGAATTCCACCTTTTGCCTATTCATTCTGTTTTTCCTAGTGTATTCCCTATGTATCTTGTAGGTGTCCCTGTTCCAGCCTGGAAGAGTTGAGCTGCTGGTGGCATACCTGGATGTAGCCCTGAATCAGGAAAGCCTGCCTAGATTCTGTTCCTGGGATACCTCTCAAACTTGGGCCCTCCCAGTCTTCTTTTCCCCATTGGCATCTTTCTTAGGCACCGTGCTTCCGCAGCTTCTCATTTTGCTCCCTCTACATCCTTCCATACTTAAGGACTCCTGTAGTTTTAGTAAGAACAACCCCCAGGGACCTGTTTCCCAAACTCTAAGCCCAGTAATGAAAAACAAAGACATTTCTGGGTCCATCGGTACATACCTATAGTCCCCACTATTTTGAAAGCTGAGGCAGAAAGGCTGCTTGAGCCCGGAAGTTTGAGGTCAGCCTAGGCAACAAAGTGAGGGACTGTGTCAAACACTCAAACTCTCTCTCTCTCTCTCTCTCTCTCTCACACACACACACACACACACACACACACTCTTCACAGAGGTAAAATCATACCTACTTGTAATATTAGACTTGTAATATTGTTTACTAGTTGTAGTAACTGCACAGTTAATGAAAATCTCAGAAGTTGTGTAGTTTTCTGCTTTTTGCCCTCTAAAGTGGGAAAAATTATTCCAAAGTTTTGGTAAGATTTTTTTTTGAGACAAAGTCTTGCTGTGTAGTTCAAATTGGCATTGAACTCACTCTGTAGCCCAAGTTGGCCTTAAACTCAAGGTGATCCTCCTGCCTCAGCCCTCTGAGTGCTAGGATTACAGATGGGTGCCACTATGCCTAGGGTTTGTGTAAGAATTAAATGAGGGGTTTTGTTTTTGAAATGGGGTCTCAGTAATTCAGGCTGGTTTTAAATTCAGTATGAAGCCCAGGTTGGCCTCAAACATATGGCAATTCCCCTGTTTCAGCCTCTTCAGTGCTAGGATTATAGGAACACACTATCATGCCCAGCTTAAATGAGGCTTTATATGTAAAGCACTTAGTAACATCTGTTGCTTATTAGGTAATAAATATTTTATTGGTTACAAAAATGTTTATTCAAAAGCATAAACAGCAGAAAAGAAATTTTAAAATTTCCATTAAAAAGTTTAGGTGTACATGATTGACATTGTGAGTGGCTTGTGACAATGATATGACCTGAAAGACTGCCAGGAACTGCTCTAACTAGTGTCGTGCTGTGTCATGGACAACTCAGGAGTTGTGACAATTTAGAGTCAGTTTTGTATTTTGAAAGATGACAGCTGTTTTAAAGATATGTACTGCAATGTACAAAAGTAATTACAATAGAATGAGAGAAAGTATTTGTAATCATATATAACAAGAACTTGATTCCAGAATACTCAAAGAATTCTTACAACTGAACAATAAAGAAAATAATCTCCTGGGTGTGATGGCACATGCCTGTAATCCCAGTACTTGGGAAGCTGAGGCAAGAGGATTGCTCCAAGTCTGAGGTCATTCTGGGCCACACAGTGAGTTCAAGGCCAGCCTGGACTACATAGCAGGACCTTGTCTCAAACAACAACAACAACAAAATAAATATGACAAATAATCCAATCTAAAAATGGGAAGGAGGGCTGGGGATATAGCTCAGTGGTACAGTGCCTTCCTGGCAAGTACAAAGTCCTGAGTTTGATTTCTAGTACCTAAATAAATAAATAAATAAATTTAAAAATGGGAAGAGGTTTTGAATAGTTACTTTTTTGTTAGTTTTGTTTTTTGAGACAGGCTCTTGCTATGTAGTTAGGCTGGACTTGAACTCCGTGGGTGGCCCAGGTTGACCTCAAACTTGTGGCGATCCTCTTGGCTCAGCCTCCCAAGTGCTGGGATTACAGATGTGTGCTACCATGCGTAGCTAAATAGCCACTTCTTCAAAATAGGTACACAAATAATCAGTGAACACATGAAAAGAAGCCAAACACCACTGTCATTAGGGAAATGAAAATCAGAATCACAAGCTACCATTTCCTTTTCCCTAGAGAACAACAATAAAAAAGACAGACAATAGCAAGTGTTGTGATGATATAGAGAAATTATAACTCTAATATTCCAAATGGTGCAGCCACTTTGGAAAACAATTTAGTATTTCTTAGAAAAATTAAAATTAACATATGGCCCCAGCAAGTATACCTCTAGGTATTGTATATACCCAAGATAAATGAAAATATAAAAACTTGTACATCAGTATTCACAGTATTCACAATAGCTAAAAAGCTAAAGCGGTTGAAATGTCCACCATGGATGAAGAGGTAAACAAAATGTCCACTTGTACAATTGAGTATTGTTTGGCAATAAAAAGAATAGTCCTTACACATGATAACAACATGAATGGATTTTGAAGATACCATGCTCAGTAGGTGGATTAAGGAAGGTTCAGTGGAGAAACAACTACTCATAGCTAAGGTACTCCTCTCTGGCCCTAAAAATATTCTAAAATTAGACTGTGGTGATACTTGCTTGCACAGTCTGTGACTGCACCATTTTGTAATTACGGAACTGTACATGTAATAAACACATAGATTTTGGTTTTTTGGTTGAGACAGGGTCTTGCTATGTAGTTCAGGCTAGCCTTGAACTCACAATATAACCCAGGCTGGCCTTGAACTTGTGGTGATACTCCTGCTTCAGCCTCCCAAATGCTGGGATTATAGTGTGTATGCCACCACACCCAGCAACACATGAATTTCCCTAGTTGCAAAATATCTCAATGAAATGATTAAAAATAGTATTTTTGTTTTATAAACAATGTAGGGAGATTTCAACAATATCTGTTGTGCTATCAGGAGTTCACTGTTAATTTTGTTGGGAATGAGAATAGAATTATGGTATGAGTTTAATTCATTTGTTGTAGGTGGAAAATGCTCTTCAGAGAGATCTATGATGTACAGATCCCCAACTCTTTGCTGGTGCCTCCTGGCTCCATCCATCTCCCTGCGGAAAACCAGTGGCCAAATATCCTGAGCACAAACTCCTCTGCCTCAACAGAGAGAAGTGTCAGGCGGGCCTGGAAAAAATAGGAGAATCTAGGGGCTGCTCTACAGGCAAGAGCTATACACAAAGGAAGAAAAGCTCTTTTCTTTACCTTGGGATGTTGCAAACAGAGGCTCATGCAAGCTAACAGGTCATGCTGAGGCTTTGAAGGACCTACACAGGCAAGGAGGCTAGGGGAACCCTACTACTGAATATAGTATCCAAGGACCTCCTTCTAGACCATAGAGACCCTTCGGTGGAGGTGAGGTGTTTGCAAAACCAGGCTGTAAAGGCAAGGCAGCATCATAAAACTCACACCTTTTGGAAAGCAATGTTGTTCACAGAAGTGATCTGTCATACTTTTTCAAAGTCCACAGCTGAACAGGTACCAAAGCCACTAAGATTAGACTATTATTGATCTGGTAGTGTGAAGGGAGGGAATGAAATTTTAAAAGGGGTGGAGATATAGCTCAGAGCAAATGCCCTGGGTTCAATCTCCAGTATCACCAGAAAGGAGAGGAAGGGACAGAAGGAGAGAGAGTGGGATGCAGGGAGGCTCTTTGCTAACCCTTGTAAGTGAAGTGAAGTGGAACTACTGTTTCTTCTGCAGGGAATTCTCTTTGACTAAACTGACTCATGATAGATGTGTGGTAGGATGAATCATGACCTCCACATACATCCACATTGTAATCCCTGAAACCTGCAAATGTTACCTTATATGGCCAAAGGATCTTTGCAGATGTTATTAAGTGTCTTTGGATGGGGACGATTATCCTCAGGTGCCCAACATATTCGTAACAACCCTTGAAGGAGGAGGCAGCCGAGCCAGTGTCAGAGAAGGTGACAAGACAGAAAAGCAGAAGCATATACTTTGAAGATGGAAGGGCCCACAAGGAAAACAGTGTGGGTCGCTACTAGAAGCTGAAAAAAGAAATCAAAGAATCAGATTCATCTCTTAGAGCCTCCAGAAGGAAATGGCCCTGTCCCAGCTTGATTTCGGCTCTGTGACCTCTGGAACTGTAAGAGATGTTTGTGTTGTTTCAACTCATTTGTCACAGCATGATGTGACCAAGGCTCAGGAGTTATTCAGAGATGACAATGAAATTTGCCTGGACGAAATGGGAAGGGTGAGGGGGAACAGTGAGAAATAGGCTTTGATACAGTGTCAGGCTGAAGGCTGGAGTGAGGTGAGGGGCAGGCTGAATACTGAAGATAAAATTTGCCCAGGAATTATCATAGTAAGTGGAACGTAGACCTTTGTTTAGGCCCTCCAGGGATACCAAACGCTAGGAAGAAGGCCAGTGAACTCTCAGTAAGCCTCTGCCCAGAAGAGAGAGGCTATCTATGACTCTCAGAGACTCACTGGGATCTATAATTCAATGCAGCAGTGGCCTGAGGTCAAGGCCTCAACTATTCAACGCCCAAATAGTTATTTCTCTCTTGGGGCATGGGCCAAGTCCAAAAGCTAAAATGACCTAAAACAGAGTCCTAGAAGAACAGCTAAGAGTGTGAGAGTTCCCCAACTCTGACACCACTGATACAACAGGCCAGATGAGTGCTGTGGGTGCTGTCCTGGGGACTAGAGGACCTTTTGCATCATCCAGCAGAGGCCAGGAGCAACCCTACTTCCCTTAAGTCTTTAACAACCCAAAGGTTCCTGGGCATTGCCAGATGTCCCCTGGGGGCAAGATCACTGCCAGACTGAGCATCTCTCGAAGGGACACTGAGCCACGATTGCAGTACAAGTTAGCTTAGATCTTTACGCAAGCAGCTCTGATAAGACGGATGGAGGAGGGCAGAGTAGAGACCGGCAGCAACCAAAGACAAAGGGAAGAATGTGTGCCAAGGCCGTGTGTGCACTCATCGCTTGGCAGTTAGGAGTATGTGGATCTGGGGGGCCAAAGCGACAGGGTGCAGTTGTGAGGTGACTGGCAGAGACTGGATAATACAGGTGTTTAGCAAGAATGCTTTCTGCTCTTATTTATGCATGAGGAGTGCACCAATGTCTGGAAATTTCCCCTAACCTTGCAAATGGCCCAGCTTGCCCAGGTTATCTTACTGATCAGGTCTCAATTCCTACCTTGAGAAATGAGGTGGGTAGAATTACATGATCTCCCAGGCCTAGGTCTGGGGCTCTGATGTGTTATATAAACACATTCAGTTACTTTAAAAAGATGCTTTTTTGAGGAATACTTTACATATTATAAAATTAACCCATTTCAATGATTTTTAGTAGCATCAAGCTGTGCGTCCAACCCTGTAATCACTGTTAAAACACTGTTAGCATGTTACACTTGAAGTTAAAGGTCTAGGAAAGAATGGAGAGCTGGTACAATTCTCTTTATCTCCCTGGGGCAGCCTTTACCCACTACTATTTCTTGCTGTGGCTTTTCCTTGTTTTGTACCTGGGTTCTGGTAGTATATGGATTTTCTGATTACAAATTGAAAGGTGTTTTGATATAAAAAGCTCCCTCAAACGCAATTTGTTTTTTCTCTCTGATACTAAGGATCAAATCCAGGGCTGTGCTACTAATGTGCTATCCACAGCCATTTTTAAATTTTTTTTAAGACAAGGTTTTGCTAATTTACGCAGGTTGCCTTCAATTTGTAATCCTCCTGCCTCAGCCTCCCATACAGTTCAGATTACAAGTGTGTGGCATGATGCCTGGCACTTTTTTTGTCTTTTGCATAAAAGAACTGTCTTTGGCCAGGGGTTTAGCTCTGCGACTTAAGTGCCTGCTTGGCAAACACAAGGTCATGAGTTTGATCCCTGGCACCAAAAAGAAAAAAAAAAAAAAGAACTGTCTACTTATTTAGTAACCTCTCCTCATACCAATGTGTGTATATTCTCACTTGATTTGTCCTTTGTTATACAGATCAAAGAACTAGAAAAATAATTTATTTTTTCATGATTTTGTTGTGGTAGTTGTTTAGTTTTTTTAAACAGGGTCTCACTATGTGATTCAGGCTGGTCTTGAACTCAATACGTAGCCTAGGCTGGCCTCAAATTCATAGTGATTCTCCTGCTTCAGCCTCCCAAGTGGTAGAATTATAGGCACATGCTACCACATTGTTTTCCAATGAATACTGACTTTTAGTTATGGTAAAATGTTGAAGTAAGCACATATCAGACATTTGTGTGGAATGACAGGAATGCATAACTCTATATGCTTCAACATATTTTAGAGGATAAATAAAGCAACAGACGGGTAACAGGAATGTGCTACCTGCTGGGTCATCCTGATTTTCCCAGTAGTCACTCCCACCTCTTGCAGAGCCTGCAGGGTTTTTTGTCCCAACACCCAGACTTGACATTTTTGAACCCTGTCACCATATGCTACTGGGCCCTGGCTAGCCTATCATAGGGCCCCTCACCAGCCACATGTGCACCATCACCCCTCAAGGGCTGCTTGCTCTCCTTGCAAGTCACCAATCAGTCTGTGATTTACATGCAAGTAGGAGGAGAAACACAAAGCCTTTCCCTGTGAATGTAGAGCATGTGATGCCTTCAGTCCCCATGGTGAAGCCTGTGGTGCTGATGAAGATTTGAGCTCTGGCGAAAGCTTTTCCCACACTGGCTGCACTGGTATGGCTTCTCACCAGTGTGGATCCTCTGATGCAGCTTTAAGGTGGACTGCCGCCCGAAGCAGTTCCCACACTCCCCACAGGTGTAGGGTCGTTCTCCTGTGTGTACCCTTTTGTGTCGTTTCAGTTCTGAATTCCACGTGAAGCTTTTCCCACAGTCATCACACTTGTACGGTTTCTTGGCAGAGCGGGTGGCCTGGTGACCCAGCCGCTGCAAACGACTGCTCAGACCTCTTTTCCCCACTTTGCTTCTCCTCAGCCCTCTCAGAGGGTGGCCTTTGGGGGAGCTGCTGGTGTATTCCAGTTCCCTGCAAGGTCTCTGGTAGTGAGTAAATGGCTTCTGAGCATTTGGGGGACTGACCTGCCTCCGTGGCAACTGGGGGTCACACATGTTTTCCCCTTTTGCTTCTGGGCTCTGAAGACCATTCCCTTTGGCTCTGCCAGCTGGCACTGCACATGGCTTTGCTCCTGTGGCCCCTTCCTGCTGTGGATTTTCCTTGTTGTCACTTCTTATTCTGGGGGCCTCTATAATTAGAAAGAATATGCTTCATTTTCTATTAGAAGAAAGAATTTCATCAAAAATGTTAAGAAATAACTGAGATTTCTCAGAGCATGACTCTCCACTGGCAATGTGCATTACATTCCTTGAGGTACTTGTCAATATGCAGCCCCCACCCCACCATTCCTAAAGCACTGAATCAGAATCTCTGGCTCCTGGGGTGTTACTAAATTATATTAAAGTTGGAACAAAGTTCTACAAACCCTTCCCTCTTTTTTGTCTTTAGGAAAAGATTTACATTTCCTTGTTCCTGTTTATCTAACTCATCAGAATGAAATGAGAGAAAGAAAATGAATTGCCAAGTAACGTAGTGCATGCCTGTAATTCTAGCATTTGGGAGGCTGAGGCAGAAAGATCACCATGAATTCGAGGCCAGCCTGCGCTACACAATGAGTCCAGGCCAGCCTACACTACATAGTGAGGCCCTGTCTCAAAGAAAAAAACAAAAAAACAAAAAAACAAATAAATGAATTAGCAAGGTCTCACTATGTTAATCAGGGTGACTTCAGACTTCTTCAATTTACAGGTGTGTGCTACTGTACCTGACTAAGAGTAGCCAAGAAATTTTTGTGTGCTACTATGGATTGAACCCCAGACCTCACATATGCTAGACCAGCACTTCACAGTGTACTGAGATTTATTTTATTTTACATTATTATTTTGTTTTCTCTATGACAGGACCTCACTATATTGTCCAGGTCAACCTTAAGCTTGCTGGGTAGCCCAGGATGGACTTGTGAGCCTTCTGCTTTAGCTAACCAAATTCTAGGATTATGGGCATTGGCACCACATCTGGATTTTTTTAATTTTGAGACAGGGTTTTGCTAAACTACCTAGGCTACCTCAAACTTATGATCCTCATGCCTTGGCTAGAATCAGAGGTACGCACCACCATGTCTAGTTAAATCTGACACTGAACATAATGATTTCAACAAATACCTCTCATTTATTTGCATGCCAATCAACAACTCCCTTCTCTCCAAAGAATCTAGTGGCTTGTGCTTTCTTTTATTCAAAGGTGTATTTGTTTAAAAACAGAAATACAGCCAACACATACATGTTAACTACAGAAAGCCCTACCCTCTGATTACCAGGATGGAGGATTGCCATCAAACTGAGCTGGAGTAGCCCACGGGAAGATACAAGAACTGAAGCAAGACCTCCTGTGAGGGGAAAACTGTATATGTACCGTCCAACACCGTACATGTACTACAGGACAGCTGGGTATTTGAAATGTGGCTAGATAATGTGCCTGGGGAACTGAATTTTTAATTTTAAGTAACTGAAATTGAAATTTCAGGCCAGGTTTGTTGGTACATCATTGTAATACCAGTCCTCAGAAGACTGAATTAGGAGGACTGCTATGAGCTCAAGGCCAGTCTGGAATATATAGTTCAAGACCAGCTTGAACTATATAGCAAGACCCTGTTTTAAAACAAAAAACAAAACAGCAACAACAAAAAATTCAAATTTAAATTTAAATAAGCACCTCAAACAATTAGAGGCAAATGACTTTAATCATGGCTCTTGAAATAATATATGAAGACAGATCATTTTTTTAATAAATAATGTTGGGACTAACAGATTTCCATAAGAAAAAGAACGAAGTTGGAGGCTTGGTGTGGTTGTGCATGCCTATAGTCCCATCACTTAGGAGGCTGAGGCAGGAGGACTGCCAGGAATTCGAGGCCAGCCTGGGCTACAAAGTGAATTTAAGACCTGCCTGAACTGCATAGTGCGACTCTATCTCAAAAAGATGAAAAAAAAATCCAAGAAAGTTATAATTTAGGATTTGGTTGTGTTATTTTGGGGCTTTCTTTTGTTTTTGGTACTTTTTTCAAAGGATTTGTTCATTTTTCTAACTTTACCAAAGTTTGCAGCTTATACCTCAGTAGACCCAGGGGTGGTTTTTGTTTTTTTGTGGTTTTTTGGTACCGGGGATTGAACTCATGACCTCGCCCTTGCAAAGCAGGCACTTATGCCATTGAGCTAAATCCCAAGCCCAACCCAGGGATGTTTTACATCACATAACTGCAGACAGACTAAAGCAATACTATTTCTAAAGGATTTTTTTTCTTTTCCTTTTTTTTTTTTTTTTTTTTTTTTTTTTTTTGTAGATTGTTAATGTATTAGGGAAGAAATAATGAAATTCTGTGTAGGCTTTTTTCAAAGTTCAATGTTTTATATGCAGATTTTAGATTCTTAGAATAAATGTTTTTCACAGAAAAAAAAAATGAAGTTGGATTTTGCCATGGTCTGAATATTTTTGTCTCCTCGCAAATTCATAAGCTGACAATCCCCAGTAAAACTGTATTGGGAAGTCGAGTATCTGGGAAGTGATTAGGTTATGAAGATGGACCTCCTCAGAAATGAGATTAGTGCCCTTATTTTAAAAAATGCCAGAAAGAACTTGTTTGCCCCTTTGGTTTTACTGCTACATGAGGACATAGCAGGTGTCATCTATGGTGATCTTCCCCCCCCATGCGCGCGCGCGCACACACACACACACACACACACACACACTCAGTCACTGTGTCTGTTGGTGCCTTCATCTTTTACCTTGGATTTCTCAGCCTCTAGAACCATGAGCAATAAGTGTTGTTTATAAATTCGCTGGAAGTAGCAAACACTCCTGTAATGTCAGCACTCAGGAGGCCACGGCAGGAGGATGACCACCACAAGTTCAAAGCCAGCCTGGGCTACATAGTAAGTCAGGGCCAGCCTAAGCTATACAATGAGACCATGTTTCAAAACAAACAAAAACAAAAACAAAACCCACAAAAAAGCCAAACACGTACTCACAAAAAGGTAAAATTTTTATTACCTAGTCTAAAGGATTTTATTATAGTTGCTCGGATAGACGAAGACAGACCCCTACTTCACAGCACATATGAAAATTAACTCACAGGCCAAGGATATAGCTCAGTGGCACAAGCACCTGCCTGGCAAGTGCAAAGTCCTGAGTTCTATTTCTAGGACCAAAAAATATATATTAAAAAAAAGAAAATAACTCAAAATGGATCAAAGATCTAAATATAAGAGGTAAATTTATCTCTCTTTGAAAAACAATTCTGTGAATCTTTGCAGCCTTGGATTCGGCAATGATATTTTAGATATCTCACTAAAGTACACCAAAAATATAAACAAAGAAAAAATAAGTGAAACTATATCAAAACGAAAAACATTTGGGCTTCAGAACACGCCATCGCGAAACTGAAAGGACAACACACAGAATGGACAACATTTGCAAATTCTACATAAAGAACTTAGAACTCAACAACAAAAAGACAAAAAAACCCACCCAATTTAAAAGCGGGCAAAGGATCTGAATGCCATTTCTTCAAACAAGATACTCAATTGACTAATAAATGCATGAAAGATGCTCTTACCGTCATTACTCTTAGGGCAAATGTAAATCAAAACTTTAGGGGTAAATAGATATATGTGGTATAAATACACACAATGGAGCACTTCTCAGCCATAAAGGCAGGTAAGGTTGATCCATTTGTAGGAAAATGGATATGTCTTGAGACCAAAATGCTAAGTGACATAAGTCAGATGCAGAAGGTAAAATATTGCATGGTTTCTCTCATCTACAAAACTCAAAGCATAAATAATTTAAAGAGCAAAATGAAAGAAAGATGATAGGAAACAGAGAAGGAGACCTTTTGGAGGAAGAGGGAAGAAAAGTAAGGGATGGGGAAACTAAAAGGGTTAAGATATAATATGTACATGTACCAACTTGCTATGATGAATGTACTCATTATCTGTCACTAATATGTAATAATAAAACATATACAAGCAATGATTTTTTTTTTAAAAAAACACCCCAAAGGGGTACTCAAGAGGATGGCTGTAATAAAAAAGACTTAACTTTAACAGCTGCTGGAGGAATGGGACGGAATTAGAATCCTTGCACCCTATTAGTGGGAATGTAAAAGGGTGCAGCTGTTGTGGAAAATGGGCTAGATAAACATAGTTACCTGTGCCCCAGCAATTCCACTCCTAGGCTACACTCAATGAAAGCATATGTCTACACAAAACTTGCACACAAATGCTCACAGCAACATTACTGATAATAGGCAAAAGCAGAAACAAAAGTTCCTCAATTGATAAGTAAACAAAGTATGGCCTATTGTGCAATGCATTATTATTGTCATAAAAAAAATGGAACACTGATCTATACTACAACATGGGTCAAACAGCAACATCATACCAAAGGGAAAGAAACCAGTATAAAAGGTCACATATTGTGTAAGTTCACTTACATGAAATGTCTCCAGCATAAGCAAATCCACAGAGACAAAAAATTAGTAGTTGCTGGCAGGCTGTGAGGAGGATAAGTTGGGGAGAGATTGATAATAGTGAGTTTCCTCCTGAGGTGTTGAAAGTTTCTGGATTATATAGTGGTAACGGGAGTATAACTTTGTGATTACATTAACCACTCAACTATATACTTCAAAAAGGTAACTTATGATATGTGAATTAAAGTTTTGTTTTGAGACAAGGTTTTGCTATATAGGTCAGGCTGACCTTTAACTCACTATTCTAGCCCAGGTTGGCCTTGAACTCACAGCAACCCTCCTGCCTCAGCCTCCCCAGTGCTGAGATTACAGGTATGTACCACCATGCCTGGCTCAGGTTGTTTTTTTCTATCAAACTATATGAGTTCCTTAGAGATGTGTGCCACCAGGCTGGCTCTGAATTACATCTTAATAGGAAAGCTTCAATAGCCACACCTGGCTAGTGGTGCTTGTGTTGGATAGCACACTTCAGAAGGCAGCAAAGGTGGCCCTACAGGGTGAGCAGCAGGGATTCTACCCTTCTGGAGATCTACGGAAAGGACACGAAGATGGCATATGCATACCTGCTGCCTTTCCTGAAGCAGAAGAAGAGAATGCTTGACTCACTCTCTTTAGGACTACAAAGGCCTAAGGTTATGGGGCAAGATATCAGCCAGGGTCACAAGCTTTGCTACTGGATGCTTCAGGTCTCCATTTCCGAAGTTCTAAAAATAATTTCCATTTCCTAAGTTCTAAAAATAATTAAACCAAAGTGCAATGAACTGAATGCTTACATTCCCTTCAAATTTCTATACTGAAATCCTAACTCCCAAGGTGATGGATTTCAGTTATGATGCTCTGCCTTCAGTGGGATTTGTGTCCTGATTAAGGAGGCCTAGAGGAGTTTGTGTCCCTTTCTGCCATGTTGGAGACCCAGAAAAGTTGTCAGTCTGCAACCTGGATGAAGACCCTCTCTAGAACCCAACCATGCTGATGCCCTGATCTCAGACTCCAGCCTCCAGCATTGTGAGAAATAGGGTTTGGTTGTTTCTAAGCTACTTTTCTCTAGGATTAGAGCAGCTGGGTCAGTCTATAAAATAAAGTGCCACAAAAAAATGTAGCAAATGTTAAGGAAATAACACTCTAATCTTGTAACTAATCTCTAGCTTGCTAAGTGTACCCTATATTTATATCACCAAGACTAGCCAAGAGTCACTGTCAGACAGGCAGTCTTAGCAATCATAGGGCTGTGTGGAACAGGGCCAGAAACTACACTAGTGTCACACCAGAGACCAACAGACACAAGTGTTCTAAGCACAACAATGTCATAGAGAACACAGAGAGTGATCTTTTCTCTATTATACAAAATATTTCTTTCAACCCTTCTAAACATGGACTCATTTTGAGTAAAGAAACCCAATCAAAGCTTGCAAAGAAGTTCACCACTGCTTATATTTGGATCTGTCTTTATTGTAAGAACCTCTGAAAAGGACAGAAAAGTAGATACTAGAATAATCCTGCCATGCATTGGTTTGTCAAATATTCATGAACATAAAATAATATAAACATACTGATTTATAGTATTATTGCCATTGTAAATAGTTAATTTTTTAAGGGAATAAACATGTATTATTACAAAAAAACATTAAAAAGGCAGACATGCATGTGTACACACACACATATACCACTGGTCTAAGTCTTTGCAGAACCATGAGATATTTTAATGAACACAAAGGGCTGAGAAGAGAAGGAGAGAAGGCAGTGTGTTTACCTGTCCCAGTCAACTTGGGCGCTGGTTCCTGGAAGAGTTGGGATTTCTCCCAGTGTTGAGGGCTCAGCTGATCATGAGATTCTTCCTGGGAAGATTCCTCCAGAGAGCTCTCCCTGAGATCTCGCCTAGGAGTTTGTAGTTGAAAGTCTGGCAGTTCCTGTTCTCCAAGCTGAGATCCAGTTTTCTCCAACAGCACCTTCTGCCCCTGCATACACACGGCCACCTGGGAACAAGCCCCACTCATTAACATGCCATCTGTTAGGACCAACTGAGCAGCATTACTGCTCACTGCTATGCAATGCCCCTTTAATTTGGGACCTCCTGATAATAGCTGAGAGGTCAGCTTGATGTAGACCATTGAAACCCTTGAAGGATGCCAAGGGAAGGCTCACAGTGACAGGAGTGAGGCTGTTTCACATTAGCCAATACTTCCTAAGTGACTCGCCCTTAAAACATGGGCTTTTCATAAAGCCTAGAGTCAAGGTCATTGGAGGACACTAGCCCATAAATTCCTATCCTATAACCCAGCTTCTTTTCAACTTCTCCTGGAAATAGGTCCTATAGGAACAGGAAGCAGTATGGTAAGGGACTATTAAAAACCATTCTAAATGAGGCATGGTGACACATGCCTATAATCCCAGCACTCAGGAGACTAAGGCAGGATTGCTGCAAATTCAAGGCCAACGTGAGCTACATAGTGAGTTCAAGATGAGCCTGAACTACATAACAAGACCCTGTCTCAATAAAACAACAAAAAAATCTAATCTAATAAATTATTATGCTAAAGGCTCTCCTGGCAGGAGATTCATTAGTGGTAGGGACCCCGGGGGAGATTGTTCCACCTGATTCCTGACAAGGTCAGTTTTCCAAAGCATATCTTGTTTGCTTCTTGTCTCGGCCCTGGCTGGGATCCACCTTGGGGGATGGGGTGAGAGGAATAGGAACACCAGGAAACTGAGATACAATTTCCTGATTTGTAAGACAATATGGCAGACGCTTCACTGGAACACGAAGTTCCCCCAAAGGAAAATTCCCACCCAACACACTGATCTTGCCTGGTAAGAATTCCTCTTGAATGAAAACTTCAAGAGGAATGGGTGGAGGAAGATCTGACAGCAGAGATTCAAGAACCTTAAAACTGCTGGGGACATGAGGTTCATGAAAGAATGATAAGAGCCTCCAACCTCTGCTTCCTCACTAGATGCCAGAAACACAGCCGGGTTTTCTGAAACACAGCTAGAAAGGGGCTCCCAGACAGAGGCTGGAAGCAATTTTTTTTAAAGCCCTCCAGTCCTTCTGGACTATAAGTAGGAAGGGATCCCGAAGCAAAACATTACTCAGATGGGAAGAAAACAAATATTGGGGGCCACGAGACAGGGCCCTTCTTACCCACTGCTTTGGTTTCTTGGATGCTCTGTGAAAATCTTCCACCAGGGTCACAATCTCCTTGCTGCTCACTGGACATCGATGCCTGACCCGAGCCTGGATCTCCGGGGGCAGGATGATCAGAAACTGCTCCATCACCAGGAGCTCCAAAATTTGCTCCTTGGTGTGCAGCTCGGGCTGCAGCCACTGGCGGCAGAGCTGTCGAAGCCGAGAGAGCGCCTCTTGGGGTCCAGACACCTCTTGATAACAAAACTGTCTGAAGCTCTGGCGCGAGAGTTCAGGATCCGGGCAGTTTTTTGACAGAGTGAGCTCGTGTTTCTCTTCTAGCTTTGTTATTATGTGTCTCTCTTGTTTGGAGGAAGCCTGATTGTGGGAGCTCAAAGTTATCTCCATTTTCGCTGCCATTTTGGGAGCTCAGGAAACAAATTTCTCTCTTTTTGGAAACTGGTCAAGGCTTCGGGATCATGACCTCGGAGAATTTTCTTTGAATGCTAGAAAGGTGGGAGAATCGAAGCTCCTCTGGGGATATTAGGATGGCTACAGAGACAGGGCCTTCTCACTTGCTAGTCTTTACCCCCAAACTCTGACAACAAGCTCTGGGCGTAGGAGGAGTTTGTTTTTCCGTCAGTTAAAACAAAACTGTCTTGCAAAAGAGAAAAGACCTAAAATTCTAAAAGTGAGCTGGGGAAAATATTCCGTTTATTTTGGTAATAAGCACACGCAATTTCACAGGAAATGAGCAGTCTGATCTAACGGGCTGGCAGAGAACTCCCCAGGAAAAGTTCAAGCTGTCTTGCAGGTAGCTTGCACTAACTCTCCCGGATCCTGGCTGACATCGACCTCGGGCATTTCGGTGGAATACACACAACCCAGTGCTGGGGGGTCGCGAGTGCACGCTGCAGCGACGCCCGCAGGCCCAGCCGGCTTCGGCCTGGCGCAGCTGTGGCAATCGGGCGCGCAGTTCTGAAGCGCGGCAGGTGCCAAGCTCTGGCAGACGCCTGCGACGCTAGAGTCCCAAGTGGCTCAATGCAGCAGGCCCACTTGCAGCCAACTCACCTCTCTGGGGACCCGGGACCCCAACCCAGGAGCCGGGCCGGGGGCGGGGCCGAAGCCGCTGGCCGCAGGGACGCCCACTGGCTGCAAGAACCTACCCGCCGGTGGGCCCGCCCTCACCACAGGGAATTGGCTCCGGAGGAACAAGTTTCGGCATCTATTGGCTAACGGATATGTCGATAATATCGCAGTGCACCCCGAGAATCCTAGTCCGGCGATTTGGCTCGTGAGCATGCGTAGCGGCAGCCTGGCTTCCGAGGTCGTGCCACTGATTTCCGGGGAGTCGCTAGTGCTGGGGGGTAGGAGAATCCTCGCCTCTCTGAGCCTTCTCCGAAGCGTTGAGGCCAGGCTCGAAAAGGCTCTGGGACTTCTTCCTCGACCTGGCGGAATTTCTTGCTCCGTCTTGTCCGCAGCACCTAACTGACCCTATGCACAGACTCAACTTGTTGAATGAGATCATGAAGCAGGGCGCTCCCCATCTTTATCTGGCATTTCTCTGAGAGTGGAACAAATTAAGACCAGTATGTTAAAATTTAGCCATGAAGCCCAGCGTAGTGGCGCACGTCTGTAATCTCAGCACTCAGAACGCTGAGACAGGAGGATCTCTTGAGTTTGAGGCCAGCCTGGACTACATAGTAAGTTTCAAAAAGCAAACAAGATATTTAGCTATGAATGGCATCTAAGGAGTCAAGAGGAGAGCAGACTGTGCCTTCCGTGTAAACCTAGCGTACAATCTATTATATCGTTTTTCAGCCAGATAAGATACAGGATGTATGCTCATGCCATGCAAGGTTCTGGTCCTGGCCTTGCTGCCTAGTGGCCATGTTATGCAATGCTAGGCAGACCACTTAATCACTGTTTCCCTGTGTTGCTAAAAATAATGGCCTTGATTTCCCTTTCTGTAGGCCCTCTGAAAAAGACAGAGAATTTTACCAGCTTAACCGTTATAAGTATCCAGTTCAGTAGTGTTGAGTATATTCACACTATTGTGCGATTAGAATCCATTTTAATATTGTCTGGTAGGAGTGTATCAACTCCTGCATAAAATCATATGTCATTTAATCGTTGTGATTGAAACCCAACTCAAATTAGTTAAAAATCGGTGTTTGTGGAAACTGGCCTTGCATCCAGGCATTAGCAGGGCTGTGATGTGTTAATCTCCTATAGTCAGCTCACTCCTGCCGATGGTGGAAAGAGACAGCAGTAATGATGGTTGCACAGGGCTGCAACCTTACATCATCTGCTTAGTAAATACCCGAGAGACTCAGAACTGACCCCACCCTCCAGTATGTGAAGAAACCCTCCAGTATCAGAGAAGAAATCTGATAGACCCATCTCAGTCCTTGCTCATCTGGGATAGAGGAGAGGGCAGTGAAATTAACAGCCTCACCAAAGCTAAGGAAGGGCTCTTTCCCGAAGGAAGATGCTACCACTGTCAAGAGTGTGGCGAAAGGGTAGGAGGGGATGTGTATCCTCCACTGTGTAGGGGAGGAGCTGGGGTCAAGGTGAGAACACACACAGACACAGAGCTCTTCAGAGAAGATGGCAAGGGGGAGAGTGAGTCCAGGATTCTTTAGGGTCAGAAATCCAGGAAGTGGGCTGGGGATTTAGCTCAGCGGCATAAGCGCCTGCCTTGCAAGCAGGTAGTCGTGAGTTCAATCCCTGGTACCGATAAAAAGGAAAAAGACCAAAAAAAAAAAAAAAAAAAGAAAAGAAAAGAAATCCAGGAAGCAGGTATGTAAGGGAAGAAGAGATAGAATAGGTGGATCCATATAGAGTTTAGATAATTCATTAGCAGTCTCAGAAACATGGCTAGAGAAAAAGTGTGATTTTGGTAAGTTTTGGTGTTGGATCCTTCGTATAGATTTGTGAAGGGAAGAAAAGTATAGAAAGCAAATCACAGGAAGCAGAGTGAAAAATGGAGCTTTCTACCTTTTTCATCCAGCCCACCTTCATTGTTGAGTCTTTCTCTTCAAATGTCCCTGCACATCTGTGACACTCATAGTACTAATCCCAAAAAGATAGTCCTTCCTGTTACACTTGGTTTCCCAGTGAAATGAGAGAGATGAAATCTGATCCCTAGGTAGAAGTGGCAATCATACTGAGCTAGTATGTTGAAGCAAATAATAGCTGCAGCGAGGATGCCCGGAAAACAGTCATTTTCAAACCAGGACCTCATACAGGGTTAGAAATCATCTCCTCAGCACCACAGCCTGGACTCTGACACCTCCTACCAGCACTTCAGGTATTTCTGTCACCAGGATGCTTTCAGAAGACTCTAGGAGCTTTGTTGTCAGTGGCTGAGGCCTCAAGTACACTCCAAAGAGCAGTTTCTGACCATCTTGCCAGAGATCAAGGCCTGAGTGAGGGCGCAGCACCCAGCGAATGGTGAGAAAGCTGTGGCTATTGTTGAGGGTGCACAAAGATCTCCTGAACAAGTGAGAAAAGGAAGCCAGAACCTTGGGGTTTTAGTTGTGAAGAAGCTGGAGCGAACACTGAAGTACAGTTTCTGGAGAGAAGACTCCCCTAGCTGATAAAAGCACAGCAGGCCTCTGCCCTCCACAAAAAATCTTGACCAACCTTGGGTTGGTCCTCTCCCTGTACTGTGTGGGGTGAGCTTCTCATCTGCAGATATAATTGTTGCTATTACATGGTAGCTATTGTGGATTTTACAGTGAATAATACAGATCTGGTCCCTGGCCTGCTGAGATCTGTGTGCTACAGGGGAAATTGACAAAAAATATGAACAGAGATGCTTTCAGATGAGTTCTGGGAAGGAAACTATCAAGTCACCTGGTAATAAACATGGTGAAGTAAGGGTTTTCTCAGATGACATCTGAGTTGAGATATAAAGGAGGAGAAGGAGCCAGTTGTACTAAGAGCTAGGAGGAGGACTCTTCAGACAGAAGTTGTAAGGGAGAGAACTTGGCATGCCAGAGAAAGACGGAGGGATAAACGGAAAGAGGGTAGGAGAGAAAGCAAGAGAGTAAAGCAAGACTAAAGGATACTGGGCCTCTAGGCTGCAAAGAGAAGGTTAGATTTTATCATCTGTGTGGTAGGAAGCCACTGAGGGGTGTTACCATCTGTGTGGTCGGAAGCCACTGAGGGGTGTTACCATATGATTTTGTAATTAAAAAAAGCTCATGTTGGAGTCCATAGAATAGATTGGAAGATCCAGTAGTAAAGAAGACAAGTTGGCCAGTTAGTGTAGACACTCCAGTGTTCTGGTCCAGTGTGAGGGTTTTTTTTTTTTTTTTTTAACTTCACACTTGCCAGGCAGGCACTTATGCTGCTGAGCTAAATTCCTGGCTAGTGTAAGGCATTTTTGACAGTGGAATTAACACTAGATTTGAGGGGAGAGAAACCAGCCCAATGCTGAGTTCACAGGTAAAGTAAAAGCCAAAGGTCCTACTTAAAAGTACACCATTTTCAGTGGATCTGGGATGTCAGGCTTTCTTAAAGCTTTTGTATAAATGATCTTACCTTATTCTGAAGACCAAATTCTATTAATTTTTACTTTATTACAGTAGCAATACAAGGGCTTCTGCAATTTTTCTCTTCTGTTTTCTTGTGTTTCACATCATAATTTCATGCCACTCTAAGGACTGTATAGTTCATCTTAGGCAGGAATTTGTGGTGTCAGATAATGAGGGGTCTGTTTTAAGGTCAAAGATTCAGAGGACTTGAAAGTGTTCATGGAGGAAATGCTTTTTCTTTGATAGCCACCAAATAATCAGTGAGAACAGCAGCTAGACGGTCGCCCAAAAGTATACACTCTGGAGGGATCTTGGAGTTTACCCCAGAGGCCACAGGACTAGTCAGAAGGTGAGCAAAAGCTGTGTCCTTACTTGAAGCAGTAGGGAACATTCATGTCATCTGTTGGAAACACAGGCATATACCTACATCCACTCTGTAGGTTCTAGATTAAAGGCCTTTGAAATATATACAAAACACAAGATCTCAAATTTTAGTTGAGGATAACAGCACTTAAAATAGGAATAGAGAATCTGGGTGTGGTTGTACATGCCTTTAATCTCAACACTTAGGGCTGACCCACACCTTCCTGTGAGCCAGAGGCAGCCATGCTGGCCAGCAGGGGAGCTGGGAAGCCAACTTGAACCTTCTCATAATCCAGTGGCAGCCACTCAGGCTGGGAAGAGAATCAAGAGGCCAAACCATCCCTTCCTGTGAGCCGCTGGCAGCCATGTGTGTCAGGAGGAGAATCAAGAAGCTAACCCATGCCTTCCCCTGAGTCAACGGCAGCCATGCAGGCCAGGAGGGGAGCCAGGAAGCTAACCCATGCCTTCCTGTGAGCCAGTCAGCACATGGACTGGGAGACCGGGAAAGCAATGCCACCTTTCTCCAAGCAACTGGCTGATTCAAAGGAACTCAGGCTGAGATGACAGTAACTGAAGTAAAAAAGTAATAGTAATAATACGTGCATTGTTTGATTGCCTTTGCAGGCCTAAAGCTGGTAGTCTGAGTATGTATTTGAAGGATAACAAGATGCATTATAGCAATTTTGGGGGGATTTCCTTCTGTCTTGTTTTTGAAATCCAATGTTTGTTCTGTTTTATTCTTGTATCTGGTAACCTGAGCAACTATTTTGAAGATAACAGTATGCATTATAACAACCATTATTAAATTCCTATCATTTTGTTTTGAAATCCTATATTTTTATTGTAGTTTTTATTGTTGTCATTTTGCTTTTGTTGTTGTTGTTTTGGTTTGTTTTTCTTGATTTTTCTGGGCTTTTTTCTCTTTAAAATAAATAAATAAATGTCAGTCCCAGTACTTGGGAAGCCGAGGCAAGGAGATCAACAAGAGTTCGAGGCCAGTTTGGGTCTTATTAACAAGTTCAAGGCCAGCCTGGACTATACAATGAAACCCTGTTTCAAAAAACAAAAACAAAAACACAAAAAGGAGGAAAGGAAGGGCAGAGATTCTTTGTATGCTACTACGATTCTTTTTATTAAAATTAATTCTTCTTTGGGATCAAGTATTATTAAAGGTGAACATGTTACTCTTGACTTCTGCATAGTAGTTCATTTGATGGAAGTCATTAAGGCTCTTCCTCATCCGATTTTATTTTTTCTAAGATATATTTTTCCTATGATTTTTGCCTTTCTTCCAAAGCTCTATATTTTGTATTTGTTTTAAGAAAAATTTGCATGTTAGGTTTTTTTTTTTTGAGACAAG